TGAGGCAAGAGGATCACAAGTTCAAGGCCAATCTCAGCAACTTAGTGAGACCCTCTCTCAAAATGAAAAATAAAGATCTGGTAAAATGTGGAAAGAGAAAAAGGAAAAAAAAAAAAAAGGAACTGGGGATGTAGCTCAGTGGTAAAGCACTCCTGGGATCAATCCCCAGTACAAAGGAAAGAAATAAAGACATTGCTTAAGAGGACTGAAGAAGACAGTGTACATGGCTGTGCTCTCTATCATGCATATTTTAATCGCTCCCATAAGTTCACTATCAAGATGATAGTTATTATTTATAAACTGGCAATATGCCAGGCCCTGCATATGCAGGCCTTGCAGGTATTTACCTGCAAAGACTCAGAATTCAACACAGGATGAAGATTCAGAGAGTTCAAGTAATGCCCCTACTCCACAAAACAAAACAGTCAGGTATTTCTCTAAGCCAGAAGGATTACAATGTTAAAAGGCTAGCACTTCTGGAGCTTACAACCAAATTGAAGTAATAAAATATACTTTTACTCTCAGCTAGCACAAGGGTAAGGACTAGGCTGGGCCTACTGGAAATATTCAAATGCTTTATAGGAATGACTACCTGGGAGGGACAAGCAAGAAAAGGATGAGAAAACGAGGAATCTGATAAAAGTGTATTAATTATAATAACATTTATTTATTATGGTTCTAGGAATTGAACCCAGGGACGCTCTACCACTAAACTACATCTCTGCCTCTCCTTTTTTATTTAAGTTTGAGACAGTCTCACTAAATTGCTGAGGCTACCTCAAACTCACAATCCTCCTGACTCAGCCTCCCGAGTGGCTGGGATTATAGGCAGGCATATGTGCCACCACACTCAGCCCATATTGTAAAATTCGACAAAACCTTCTCAGCTGGTGGGTCTATGCTAAAGATAATGGCACTTAAAACTGGGGCATCTGCCCTAAGGGGGAAGGAAAAAGAGGAAAAGCAAGATTATATATATACACACACACACACACACACACACACACACATACATACACACACACATACATATACATACAGGAGGATTGGTAGGTAAAAATAAAAATAAAATATATTTTTATTTGTAGTTGGACACAACACCTTTATTTTATTTATTCATTTCTATGTGGTGCCGAGGATCGAACCCAGCGCCTCGCCTGTGCCAGGCGGGCACTCCACTGCTGAGCCACAACCCCAGCCCCCCCAAGCAAGATTTTTGTTGATTAGTGTTTTTTAGAGAGCATGGATTTTGAATTACTCTCCCTCATGGACCCCAGAAGTGTAAGCACCTATAGAGGACATGCCACTAAAGAACCTCTATTCTCACCCCTCCCCCCTTTCACAGATGGAAAAACCCAGGCCTCAGGGAAGGGAGGTAATCTCACTGAAGGTCCCATAGCAAATTATTGCAAAACTGAAATGGCCCTAGATCTCTCCTTGTTCTGACTGAGGCTCCCTCTTCTCCACCCTTCTCCAACTTTGCACGTGCCCCCAAGGCCCTAGCAGAGGTTAAAACACTCCAGAGGTTCTAGCAGTCTTGGCATCAGAAAGTGTGTCAAGGAGGAAAAACAAAAGGCCCACTGGGAGCAGTTAAGCAACAAAGTCTTGTGTCATCAAGAACCAAAAAAACAAGTCCCAGTGAGCCTCAGTGAATGTGAGGTCCAAGGTCCTTTGCTGGCCCCAGACCTTGTTCCTCCCTAGGCAGAGGGTTGTTTCTCTTCCCCCTCAGCCTTTCCCTTCTCTAATTTCCCCCATCTCTTATCCCTTCTCTTCAGTCAGCCCCCAAAGCCAGAAAGAAGTGTCTCCTGGTCCACCAGGGCTGAGCTGGACGCAAGACCAGGGTGTTGGGGTTTACCTGCCCGGACAAAGTAGCAGTGCAGGGAGTGCACGTGGATGTCTTCACTCACAGACTTGGCGGCAGCCACCAGGGCCTGGCCCACGATCTGACCCCCAAAGAGCCGCTGGGTGGTGGGTACCCAGTAATGCCTTCCTCTGTGGGGAGAGGAGGAAAGTGGGAAAGACTTGAGGGCTGCTCCAAATTCTGTGTGCCTCCAATGAGCCTCTAGCACAGGACCTCTTATCATTACTGGGGTTTGGAATCCTTTAGAGAATTTGCTGAAAGCTGTGGACTCTTTCCCCAGGTAAATATTCTCACCTCACTGTATAAAATTTCACAGCCTTTATGACCATCCAAATCCTCCTGTGGACTCTAGCTATAGAGAATAGGGACCAGAGGTTGAAAGTGACATGGGCAAGTTCATATTCAAAGTGTTTAAACATTGCCAAGCCTGGGCACTACTTGGGCTTTTGATCTCACATCCAATGTTTCTTTCACTACACAAACCAAGGTAAGGCAGAAGCCTCTCAAGGCCTTGAATGGACCAAAATGAACCCCAAGAGCTGAGCAGTATTAAGGTCTGCCACTTACACTCCCAACTGGGACAGCCTATTTCTTCCAATAACTAGTTTCAGAACTAGAAGGGCCCTCAGACAGCAAGCTTCTCTCTCTCTAGGGCTGTAAAATTTTATACAGACAAGGATACTGTGATTTGGCCCCAGAAGTGAAAAGGCTTGGTTGGGCCCCAGATGTGAGAAGATCTGCTCAGTGCAGGAGGAGCCCACGGCCTGTGCAGGTTAAAGCCTCCCCTACCCAGCCTGAGTTTATCATTGTCCACAACATCCGGGCCCCCACTGGTGAATTATAATTCCTTAAGTGGGAAGGAAGGGAGACCAAAGAGAGCTTCCATTAAAGCCAGTGGGAGCTTTGGAGGTCAAAGCTGTTCTAAAACCCTGCTGCAGACTTCAGTGATGCTGGGAAGGAAGCAGACTCAGGCCTCAGAATGAGTAATGAGCTACCAGACCCCAGCAAATGGTGCTGGGGATGGGGTATGTGAGAGGAAAAGAATAAAAGCAAGTGTGCAGGGAGCTGTGTATAGGTTTTAAGCCTGATCAGCTGTGTGCCCTTGGGCAAATCTCTGCCCTCTCTGGGCTGGCTCCTCCAGTGGAGGTTCAGGGCAGGCGGACGAACAGGGTATCTCAGGTCCCACTTTATGTACCCAGACCTCCTAGGTGTCAGAGAGGAACAGCTGTCAGGGACAAGTTCTCTCCTAAATGCAGCATATCTCGAACCTCGCACAAAGCCCGTTCTATTCCCAGAGCTGGGGGCCATGCGGCGGCGACAGTCGAGATCAGGCGACTCGGTGCTAAAGGAGGGATGCGAACCAGGTGCGGCTAGCTACCTGAAGAGATCCTCGTCTAGCGGCTCAAGGCTGAGCACGCTGGTGACCAGGACGCTACGGAGGTCCCCGGAGGGATCGCCGCTGTCGCCACTGCCCTGCCCGTCCTCCGGGACCTGTGGGGACGACATCTTGTTTCCTTGCTGTGGGTCGGGACACCGCTCAGAGCAGGACACACGGAGACCTACATAGGATCCCGGCGCTTCCGGCAGACTGCCTTAGCTACCGGAAGTCCCGTGCAGAGCTCTGAGTCTGAGTGCAGGTTATGATTGGTCAGAGCTCCTGTCAGTTGTCGAGTGGGTGTGGCCATCTCTATCTAGCTATTGGTGTAAACAAATGCCAGTCTGGGAATTCCGTGGGTGATTGGGTATAACGGTGGGGGGCGGAGCCTTGGATATGGATAATATAGGATGAGTATCATTTCCCTTCAGTCAGATAGCAAAGACGCCCCCAGCCCCAAATWGCTAGGTCCTACCTCGGGAGCCTCTTGAGTTTCGTATTAGGCCACCAGGTTGGGTCGCCCCTTAAGGAGTCCTGGGCCCATGCCAGCCTGTGTACACTCAGTGTGACCTCTGACCGCTGGTGTGATCTTGGACCCAGCGAGGACCAGTCCCTGGCGTGGGCCGAAGGGACAGCCATGGAGCTGGGCAGCTGCTTCAAGACCTACGAGGACTTCAAGGAGTGCTTCAGCGCCTACAAAAGGGAGAACAGGTGCTCCTTCATTCTCAGGGACTGCGTCTCCGTCCGCTTCCACAACCTCAACCACGGCACCTCCATCCGCGAGGACATCCTGTAAGGGCGGGGCGCGGCAGGAGGGTGGGGAGAAGGCCGGTCCCGAGGGCGGCCCGGGGGAGGAGGGAAGGCGACGGGTCGGCACTGGCACTCCAGGAGCACTTGCTGTGTGCCTTAGGAAAAGAGGGAAGCCGCCACGGCGTGGCTTTTCGGCCACCCACTTCATTTGCACGCACTGCCGCACGCACAAGCTTTTCCAGCAGTCGTGCCAACTGCGGTTTCTCCAGTGGTTCTGAGCCTCTGCAGCACCCCACGCCCAAAGCGTGGCCTTCACAAATGGATAAAAACGCCTTGGCGATCATTTCCTTCCTGGTCTCCCCTTAGAAAGCGTTAACGTGACCATTGGTTGGTTAATTTCGTTCCTTCATTGATTCATATGGTAAATAGTTCTTGAGCTCTTGACAGCTGTTTTCCCAACACTTACCACGTCTCAGGTAGCGTTCTGTATTCAAGCTTTGCTTTACAGAGCGGTTTTAAGAATTATAGATAAATCTTATTCTCATTCGACAGAGGAGGAAACAGGTTTAGAGGCTAGGATAAATTGAAAACTCAAATGCCTTTAGGGCTCAGGCAAACAGCTTAGTGTTAAGGAAGTTTAATCTTGGGGGAGGGCAGTGGGAGCGCTGACGCAGGAGGATCACAAGTTCAAGGGTAGCCTGGGCAATTTAGGAAGACCCTCCCCCAAAATAAAACTTTTTTTTTTTTAAAGGCCGGAGATGTAGCTCAGTGGTAAAGCACTTGGTTTCAATAAGAAAGTTTAAACTTTAATTTTACTTTAAGAAGACCAGAATGGCTGGGCATGATAACCATTGCCTGTAATCCTAGCCACTCGGGGGTCTGAGGCAGGAGGATCACAAGTTGGAGGCCTCCCCAATTTAATGAGGTCCTAAGCAATTTAATGAGACCCTGTCTCATGATAAAATAAAAAGGACTGAGGATGTGGCTTAGTAGTAAAACCAGTTGGGTTCAACCTCCTGTTACCAGAAAACGAAAAAGAAAAATGGCTGAGTGGCCCGTAATCCCACCGACTCCGGAGGTTCACAAATTGGAGGCTTGCCTAGGTAATTTAGCAATATCCTGTCTGAAAATAAAAATTAAAAGGGGGCTGGAGATGTGGCTCAGCGGTAGCGCGCTCGCCTGGCATGCGTGCGGCCCGGGTTCGATCCTCAGCACCACATACCAACAAAGATGTTGTGTCCGCCGAGAACTAAAAAATAAATATTAAAATTTCTCTCTCTCTGTCTCTCCTCTCTCACTCTCTCTTTTAAAAAAAAAAAAAAAAAAAAAATTAAAAGGGACTAAGGATGTGACTCCGTGGTAAAGCACCCCTAGTACCAGAAGAAAAAAAGAAAAAGATGAAATAAAAACCAGTATCAGGATTTTGTGCTGGATAAAGCAGAAATGTAAACAGCACAAAATGAAAAGCAGGCCCATCTAGTCAACTCAGTGGATGGTTGCTGTGTGAAAATGAAGATTTGATGTTGCTAACATTTTGTTGTCAGTAATCCAGACTACTTCATTTGTCCACTTGTTAGAAATTGGAACTCAGTTCACACTTGAACACATACCATGTAAGCCAACTCTGAGAATCAAAGTATATCTTAAGTTTGAGATCTGGATGGAGATGTTTGGCCAAAACTCCCCAACTGGGGAGCCAGACGGTCTTTCGCTACTCTTCTGAAGTTCAATGGTAGATTACTGCCTAGCATGTACAACACTTGGTTTTGATCTTCAGTACTGCCAAGGAAAAAAGTTAGGAGCACTTGGACTCAAGTGAGTTAACCAGTACAGGATCAGAATACTTTAAAAAAAAAAAAAAATTGTTGCCTACTGAACAGATACAGACTTTTTTGTTCTCATTCCCTGCACAATGTAGCATACAACTATTTACGTAGCACATTGTGTTGTGTATTTTTTTTTAATTTTTTAACATTTATTTTTTAATTTTCGGCAGACACAACATCTTTGTATGTGGTGCTGAGGATCGAACCCGGGCCGCACGCATGCCAGGCGAGCGCGCTACCGCTTGAGCCACATCCCCAACCCATGTGTTGTGTATTATAAGTAATTTAGAGATTTAAAGTTTATGGCAAGTTTTTAAAAAATATTTATTTAGTTGTAGATAAACACACAGTATCTTTTTTATTTTTATTTGGTGCTGTGGATTGAACCCAGTGCCTCACACATGCGAGGCAAGCACTTTACCACTGAGCTACAGCCTCAGCCCCAAGTATATGGCAATTTATATGTAAATACTACATCATTTTATATAAGAGACTTGAACATCCTTGGATTGTGGTGTCTTGGAACCACAACTGTATGTGATAAATGCTTCAAGAGAGATATACAAAAAAAAGAAATAACAAATGCTGGGGAGGTAGGTAAGGCTTCCCAGTGTGGATGAATGTAGAGGGCTAGAGTAGATTAATGGTTAATGACTGAGTATCGTCTAGGATTTGACCAGAAGGAGCTGTGCATAAAGAGCTGTCAGAACAGACACAGACATGTTTGAAAGAAGGTGGCATGTTAGAGAAACCGTGTGGGCTGCCATACTTGGCAGGAGATGAAGTTAGTTGGAATCTATATGAAGGGTCTTTACTTACTATTTGAGATATTTGGGCTTCATCTCATGTCACAACACCCTGCTAAGCAATGAGAAGAATAAAAAAAAAAAGTTACCCTTCAGTACCCTTCAGGTATGCATCTAGCATGGACTATGGCCCATAACAGCCATTTAATAATTTTAGGGAGAAAATGAGTTATCAAGTGCTAAACATGTGACTCACGGAAATGCGTGCTGCAAGAACCAAAGAAAGAAAAACTACTTCCTATGCACTAGAGAAGACAGAGAAAAGGAGTCTTGAGCTGGGCTCACAAATACGGGGAGGTGTTATGAGCTGCATGCAATAGTTTTCTATTTGTTGCTCTAACAAATTACAACAAGTTTAGTGGCTCCAATTAACTTTTTTTTTTTTTTTTGGTACTGCGGATTGAACCCAGTGGTGTTTAACCGCTGAGCCACATCCCCAGTCCTTTTTAGAGACAGTCTCGTCTCACTAAGTTGCTTAGAGCCTTATTAAATTGCTGAGGCTGGTCTTGAATTTGCAGTCCTCCTTGCCTCAACATGTGCCATCCGCACCCAGCATACTTAAAAGAGTTCTCTAGGTTAGAAATCAGACTAGGATCTCACTGGACTAAAATCATGGTGTCTGCAGGGCTGCATTTCTTTAGAGTCCACAGAAGAGGATCTGTTTTCTTGTCTTTTCCAGGTACTAGAGGCTGTCTACATTCCTTGGCTCATGGCTCCCTCCATCTTCAAAGCTGGAAATTGCAGGGTTGAGTCCTCACATCACATTGCTTGTCTTACACACCTCCTTCTTAGACTTCCTTCTTCTACCTTCCTCCACATTTTTTTTTTTTTTCCTGGTACTAGGGATTGAATCCAGGGCCTTGCGTGCTTGTTAGGCTGGGATTACAGGTTTGCACAACCATTGAGCTTTATCTTTTTATTTATTTTGAAACGGTCTCACTAAGTTGCCCAGGCTGACCTCCTGCCTCAGCCTCCCAAGTAGCTGGGATGCCACTTCACCTGGTTTCCCTCTCTACTTTTCCTTTTCTGAATCAAACCTAGGGCTGCACATGGCAAGTACACACTATTACAAAGCTATCTTCCAGCTAATTTCCATATTTCAAAGCCATCTGATAGAAACCTTTCTATCCCCTTATCCGTTCCTGGTACTGGGGATTGATTCCAGGGATGTTTTACCACCAAGCTACATCCCTAGTCTTATTTTTTTGAGACAAGATCTTACTGAGTTTCCCAGGTTGACCTTGTACTTTAGATTCTCTGGCTTTAACTTCCTGAGAAGCTGGGATTACAGGAGTGCACAACCATGCCTGGCCTGATGGCGACCTTAACTCCCCTTTGCTATGTAACCTGTGTAACCTAACATGTTCACAGGTTTGTTTGTGTGTGTGTGTGTGCGCGCGTGTGTGTGTATACAAATATAAGTAACCCAGGGGCACTTAACCACTGAGTCACATCCCCAGCCTTCTTTATTTTTTATTTTCAGACAGGGTCTCACTAAGTTGCTTAGGACCTTGCTTAATTGCTGAGGCTGGCCTGAAACTTACAGTCCCCCTGCCTCAGCCTCCTGAGTACTGAGTTTACAGGCTTGTGTCACCATGCCCAGCTTCAGATAAGGACATCTTTGAGGGGTCATTCTGTGTGAGAATTAACATCCTGGTGTGAATTGTTAGTGCTGATGTTAACATGATAGGCTTCTGTTAGCAGTGATTTATGTTTACATACACACACCAAACGAAAGCTGCAAGGAGACCTGCTTAGCAAGAAGGAAGGATTTATGCTGGAGCTGCAGAAAAGAAAAATTGGAGGGACCAAGAGATGGGATTAGTTTTATTTTTATTTTTTGAGGATGAACAGTGAAATCTGAATTACTCGTTTGGGGTGTTTTTTGTTTGTTTGTTTGTTTGTTTGTTTTTAATTGTGGTGTGTTGCTGAGGATCAAACCCAGAGCCTCATGCATGCTGTGTAAGTGTTCTGCCACTAAGCTGTACCCCCTGCTTAAACGGGAGCTGGGAGTATAACTCAAAAACAAATTTAATTTTTTTTTTTTAAACAGTAAAGAAGAGTAAAGTTCAGTGTCATTTTCACTACACTATTTAGAGGCTACCAGGGTTACCCTCCAGAGACACTGACCCTGAATACATACAAGCACATTTTATATATGCATGCATGTCTCCCCAATCCCCCCAGTGCTGGGGTTTAAAACCAGGACCCTCATTTGTGGTACTGGGATCAAACCAAGAGTCTTCCGTATGCTAGGTGAGCACTCCACCACACAGCTACATCCTCAGTCTTAATTTTTCCTTTTTAACACAAGTGGCAGCATACTATTTATATATATATCCTTCTAAACCTGATTTTTCTCACCGGTCAGTGAATCTGGGAGATAATTCCACGTTGTTTATTCCATTAT